TACCCGAAAAATGGGAATGAATTCACTTCAAAGTTGTTGTTTATATCGATAACCTTCACGCCAACACGTGCCACTTTAGTTTGCATAAATTAGAGTGACGTCACAGAACACGATTAGTGTCAGGTTTGCGTAGACGTTCCGACCTCGCTTCCGTTCACCTTGATGGGGGAGGGTACGGCTACGCGTGGGCTATTTTGACAGCTTGGTCCTAGGATTGATGGACACAGTAAACTGTCAGAAGGACCTTAAGAAATTTTCTAAAGAAGAATGGAAGAAGGTGGGGTAACCTGCCCTGCGCTTGACTGGGTTAGTGCCACTGAGACCATGGAAAGCTCCGGTCGGATGAGCCTTATAGCTTCTACATGAAATCTGACATACCCTTTAACATCGTTTTATTCATCAAGTGACGGTTCAGCCGAAAGTTATGATATACTTCTATTTACCCTAAACTTATTGTGGTTTATTCTATCTTAACTTACGAGTGATTTGTTGAATCTGTGAACATACAAGTTTTTCTAATTTCGCCCATTTAAGGTAATCCGGATTCCGGAATCCAGGAAATTTTTGTTTGTGGAATCCGGAATACTGGGCTCTGGAATCCAGAATCCAGCTTTTGGAATCCAGGATCCCGCTAAAAAGGGAATCCAGAATGCACTTGCTGAAAATCCATTTCAAATCGTATTAGCGGCTTTCACCCGCATCCATGCAACCACTGTAGAGTGCAGTTCACTCACGTGATCAATCGTTGCTCAAAGTGAGCTTTCAAATCCCACAGGATTTGCTTGGAACATCAATATGGCCGCTATTTGATTGTTTTGGAACACCTCTAAATAATGATATGGCCGCTAGGACGTCCTGTGAGATTAACTTACCTTGTAAAAGATACGCTTTAGTTTTGCTTTTAATCGAGGAAGTTGTAAATTTCTGTGAAAATAATCTAACTGTTGACAACTTGGAGACTTTGCTTTTGCCCGCTTTCCCCGCCGGATTTTTGAGCAAATTGGGCGCACGGCAAGCTTTGGCACCGGAAACTGCGCTACTTTTATCTGGCACCTAGGGTCGAGGTATCGACCTCAATACTTAATACTTAATACTCTTTTCCTTTTCGACTCTTTCAAACTTTCTGGCACTTCTGACTCGCGACTGACCAAAGTCAAAAATAAATATTCATTTTCCATAAATCATAATGAGAGCATAAAAAGTAATATTCTCCTGATGGCCGTGGAGGCATAGTTGTAATTAGAAGCCAGACGACAGCCAGGAACTGTCAAAACTGCACCAGTCACTCAGAGCACGTGGAGGGACACAAGCCGCAGTATACAGAAAATTTGCAGTATCTTTTTCAATATTGATATATCATTTGTTTATTCGAATTGCTCTTTCTCTAAATCTCGATACTTCAATCATAATCTATGGGGAAGCACAAGAAAAAGCAAAAGGCGGAGAGGGAAAGTAAAGTGTAACATTGTAATGATTCAATTGATTTTCTGTTCCATTTTAAACTAACTTAACCTCCAGCGAAACTTACAAAAAATTACTGAAAATGCATCTTCAGGAGCTCAAGAAACCGAAGAAAGAAAGACAAAAAAGAAAAATGCACGAGTTCAAGATCATCGAGGTTTGAGGATTTTTGTGTATTATGAAACACTTTTGAATTTTTTTTCGGGGTTGCAACGAACAAACAGGAACGACAGAGGTTTTAATTACAAACTATGGTCAGTAATAATTTTTTCTAGGTTAGAGCGTAAATCGTCAATGTAGTAAAATTCGGAAGTTTAAAAGAAGTTGAAAGACTCGAAAAAACGCTTTGCTAAACTTGAGAATACCCGGCCAATTGTTTGCATCTCATGGAACAACAATGTATTATGCCTCGTTCAATGATGAAACGCAACAAACGCATAGCATGACTCGCTTGTTAGCAGTGCTTTAGGCCTTCTGTCGTTTTGAGATCAGCTACGCTAGAGGCTTGAATAAACTCTGCTTGTTAAATATTTTATTATGCTACCTGGCACTGGTCATGAAAATCGCTTACTTGGCGCAAAATTTCGCCCGAATCGTGATTCACACTTAAACACACACTTTTTCAACTTGAGAATACCTGGCCAATTGTTTGCATCTCATTGAACAACAGTGTATTATGCCTCGTTAAATGCTGGAACGCAGCGAACGCACAGCATGACTCGTGTAAATGAAGATCTTTCGCGATTTTTCAAAGGTGTAAGTATAGTTGAATTGGTTGAACACCGTTTAATGCGCAATCTCGTCGAACATCATCGCCAATTACATCTAGGAAAACAAGCTTTTCTGTCCGTGATTTACTCGGGGTGTTATTAAAATTTTATTCCAGTTTAAATTTTTGCCTCAATACCATGGTTTTTGTTTAAAAGTAAAGTTTAAAAAGTAATTTGAGATGATAGGGAAATATTTTCGAGCTGTTTTCTTGGCAGTTCTAAGTCAATTTTATATTTAAAAAAATTGGCCATCTTTTCCAAGTCGGAACAATGTTATGCTGTACCAGAAAAACCTTTTAGTCCAACAGTTATTTACAAATTAAAAATGATAAGCAATGATTTGAACTATTAGTTCTTTGTTCCTGTTAAATCACTTGAAGAACCTCTAGGAACCTGTATGAAAGAAATGCGGCCTGGCCTCTTCAGAGTTGCTAAAAGATGTGGAATGAATGGACATTGGACTTAAGAGACGGACAGTCTCAACAGGTATTCCTACAACAAAAATTTATCCCTTAATTTGCTGTTATACATTTCAAATGTCATAATTTCAAGTTTCATAATTATCAAATGTTTTTATGGAAATATAAATAGACAAACATGCATTCACAAACATGTCCTTCAATAGCAAAATCCGCCATTGAAGTCATTCCTAGAAAACGAAATGTGAAAATTAGGGGCAAACCAGAGACCAAAATCTGGAATCTTTGGTGTTTTAGATTCCGGAATCTGCAGTGGTAGAATCCGGAATCCAGCACCTGGAATCCGGAATCCACAACGTGGAATCCAGAATCTAATACTGTCCTGGATTACCTTACATGGGGCGACTAATCGTTTTTCTCCGAATGTGAACAGAGTTTCGTGAGACTTAGTGGTGTATGAACGCTGTTCTTCTACGAGGACGTGAATTCAGGCAAAAGATTTAGTAATCTTTTTTTCTTTTGTCGGTGACACGGAGAAGAGAGGGTCGCGGAAGTGGTTTTTCTCGTGAATCTAATTGTGCACACTACTTGCTTATTCCATCTCCTGCTTCTACTATATCCTAATCATATAGACGATATTATGTTTATGATTATGTTTGTTATGTTGCTATGGAAATTAATCGCGATTCGCCATTTTCACTGAAACAAACAGTTCCTCCTTAACATTTCCCATGTGAGTAACTGATCCAGCGAATTGGCGTAGAGGATCGTCAGACTTCAAGTTTGATCGCAGACTATAAGCACAGCCCCAAGAAAAATAGTTTCTAGGCCTAAATTTTGCACTCACGACTTTAATTGAGCTTTTAATTTTTTCTGACTCAGTCGTCTATTGAATATTTCTTTCTGTCTTTTAGTTCTATGAACACTCTTAGACCTGACGAGTTTTTTATCCACTTTGTTGGGATTTAAAATAATTTCCGTCGTAAAAGGAGTGACTGGCAAATAACACTAAACTTAAGAAAAAAATTATAAACAGCTGGTGTCCTCATTTCTGCCACGAGGGACAAACAATTAAGCATCACTTGTCTGCAACATGATACAACTTGAGGAAGAAACTTGAGAGAGTTAATTAGTCAAGAAAACAAGAGTGAAAATATAATTTATTTGTGAAGATTGTCAGCTACATATTTATCTATGTCCATTAAGTTCGCTAAGGTTGAATAATGAGCTATTTACAGGGCAAAACTAGGCTTCGAAAGTTGCATCATGTGACTTTCAAGGATTCTGGGCTGATAAAATGACTTTTCCCTGTAGATCATGCCCCAGTTGAAAGAATGCGAACGATTCCCTCGAGGGTGGCATGTAGGTTCCAAATCATTCGACGTGTTTGTCAATGACGTATCCTCGCTTTTCAAGGAAGTAAATGTGGAGGACACCATTGACAACATCACTAAATGAATTTACACGTACAACAAATTACCTAAACTCAGCTCTAAACTTCTTTTCAAACGTGCTCTCTGCCACTTCCCTAAAAAAACTCGTCACGAAACTCCTCTCATCGGGAATTACTTAGGAATATAAAATATCATCAATTTGGCGGATGGTGCTTATTTACCCTGATGATAACCTTGTGTCGAAAACGTTCGGTTTATATTTTCTCCTGACAAATGGCTCATATTCCTCTATATTTTTTATCATTCTATGTTGTAATTAAGCACACTGCACGAGGGCTAAGGGAAAGAAACAATCAAAAGCCTCAGGGAAATTTTGGGAACACAATTGCCCGTAATTATAAAATCAATGGACTAATTTAATAGGCCTGAAATTTGAAACTTGCTTAAAAGCATTCGACAATTTATGTTGTACGCACCGACTCAGGTTTTCTGAAATTGAACACGAACCATTAGATTGTCATCCTTATTTAAACAATTGAAAGATGCTATTAAATTTTGATGAGGAAAGAGTCATAGAGGCTGAAAATTAATCAATTATAGATACTAGAATGCAAGTATCTATGACTAAAGAAAATTAAAACGTTTTTTCACCTAGTCCTTCCTTTATGCTCTCTGTAAGAGAAAAAGACGATTTAACCATCAGTCCTCGAGAAGAATAGTCACGGTGAGAAAAAAGGAAAAAAAGGAAAACACTGCAACCTAATGCAGTTTGAAGGAAACTTAAAACCTGTTTGGCAACAGGCCTATGTTGAAGGTCACCTAACAAAACATATCGTATGGCTTATACTGTTTTCATTCTCGCAATTTTCTAGCACCTGCCTATCTACTTAGGAAGTCGAAATGAAATAAACATTTATTCTTTTTCATCATATTCTTTCTAACAGTGAGGACTAAACATGCATCTCAGCATCATATTTCTTCTTTGCGCCGTTGACTACGGCATAAGCCGTATTTCAGGGCCAAATATCAAAGCTGTTAACTTTGCCAAAAAGATAAAGAGACAAAAGCTGAACGGAAGCCTGATAAGAGATATAGAAGTGGATTCGGAAAGTTCCTGTCAGTTTGAGTGTGTGTATGAAGAGCGATGTCAGTCTTACAACTTTGGAACCATAAAGGGCGACTCAAACAAATTCAAGTGTCAACTAAGCGACTCTGACCGATTTGCTGGATTTGCTAACTTTATCGAGGATAAAGATTTCATTTACAGGGGAATAAAGGTAAGCTAAATCTGTTTAGTGCATCAAAAATGACTTCTGTTGTATCTCAGAATTAAAATCTTGATTAACTTTGAACTATTTAAGCATTCATTTCTTCTTTTACCTCCTTATCTGCTTAAGAAGATCTGTAAATAATCGTGATAGAAATTTTCCGGCTGTTAACGTTAGGGGAAGGGGGCTCCACTCACGAAAACGGCTAGATTTTTCGCGAAAAATGTTTCGATTTGTTTTGTGTATAAAGCCTTCATTCTTGCTTTTCTTTCAAGTAAATCTTCCATGTCAACTAGTCGCATTTTGCTATCCAACAAGAAAGGATGTGTATTCTGTTGCGCTTCGTAATAAAATTGTTGCATATTTTAGCAAGACTTGGTTTTCTTAGACGGAGCGTAAGGAGACCCACTCATGGCTATAACCATCGTCAATGATGATAAAAAGATACTGATAAAAGTAATGATTATGACATTGATGATAAAAATAAAAACAACCATTGATTATGATATCGATATCGTCATCATCATCATCATCATTATCATGGTGGTAAATTCATACCCGAGGTCTCTATTTCCCTAAGAACGAGGCTTGTGTATGGTCTCGTAGACTTTGTTTATCTCCCAACCTATCAAAGGTTTTCTGTTGCACGTAACAGGGTGCGCAAGCCGAAGGCCATATCTTGAAGAAATTTGTGCAAATCCTGTTCGCAACCAAATGAGTTGCTATCCTTCGAATATCCCTGCGCTATTGAAAGAAAGAAACTCCTTTGACTTACAGATGTTTAGGAAGTTACTCGACACAACTTTTTTCTCTAGAGCGCGTGTGAAGAAGACAGTTTCCGATGTGGTGATCACAGTATATGCGTTCCCAACTATCAAGATGACAGCATTCGATGCCAGTGTAAGCATGGCTTCACAGGAAAACCTTGCGGTAGGTATATTTCGCTTTGTTTAGGTATAGAAAAAGCCTCAATTGTCATATAAAGAAGTGATTTCGAATAGGTTCTTTATTTCCTCGCAAATTAATAGAACCGAAAAGCTGCTCTCAATTATTTCAAGATGGTTTCAATTCCAGTGGCGTATACACCATCAATCCAGATGGCGGCAAACCAATCCAAGTGTTATGTGACATGATCACAGACGGTGGAGGCTGGACCGTTTTTCAGAAACGCTTGGACGGCTCTGTTGACTTCTATCTTAAATGGGAATCCTACAAAAACGGCTTCGGAGATCTGAGCGGAGATTTCTGGCTTGGAAACGACAATCTTCACCGTTTAACAGCCGCTGATCATGTCATGTTGAGAGTTGACCTGGAAGACTTTGAGGGGAACATCACATATGCTGAGTACACGGATTTTGGTGTGGCAGACGAAGCTGATAAGTACCGGCTTTTGATTGGAGGATACAAGGGCACCGCTGGTGACTCTATGACGCGACATAAGTAAGTAAGGAATTCAGGTTGACTGAGACAGAATCCATTTCCAGCCACGGGAAGCATGTTTCGAATAGGGATGTAGCTTTAGAAATTGATTTCGAAGGGAACTAATCATGAACGGCTTATCACATCTAGTTTGAATTTTGTATGTAAAGAGAAACATTTCCAGATAAAACAAAGGAAAACGTATGGCTTTGATGTTTATTTTGGAAGTTTAATGTTTTATTGGTCTCCATCTTCGTTTAAATTTTGAATCGTCACAATCACAATCATAAATGGGCATAACTAAAATTGTTCCGAAAAAATCAAAGGACAAATTTGTCATGTAAAATGTTTGCTTCGTCTGTTGCATCCGCATCAAAAAAATTTGAAAGCCGTCCAAAATTCCGTCAGTGCCTGATGTGTTCATAAGACTGGCCAGCCAAGTTTGCCAAAGGATTAAACCTCCAATTTCTAGGATTCGTACAAGCCGTTTTAAAAATTTCAATCCCCGTGTTTTGTAACAAAAGATAACTATTGCCTTCCTACTATACTGCTTTCAGTTCAATTACACGCTGATCGTAGCTTTTACGACAAATAATCGACAAGTTTCTCACGGTTTTGTTTATTAAGTCGATTTTGTTCAGTTTTTACTTGGGACAAATGTTGTCGGCGGTGCATTTGAAGATTTGCCCGCCTCGATCAAAATTTTTCAAGTTGCGACAAACAATCTGCACTTGTAAAATGTTGATGTTGACAGGAAACAACTTATTCGCTAGTGCGGAAAGGCCCTAACTTTATATATTCAAGAAATTGATAAACCAAAAGACTTTCGGGAGCCTCAAACAAACTACATCAACATACACCTCCAGTAATATGTGAGACTTCAGTAAGATTGAGAGCTCAACAGTTTTTCAAGGTTCCGATCTGATAAGTCACGTGACTTGATTACGTAATCGGATAACCCAGACTACCAAGAATGTGCCGCCTTTGCTTTAACACCCGCAAACGGATAAACGATCAAAGCTTCTTGAAAAAGGACGATAAGCCATAGGCCCCATCTCCTGCATCTTCTCTTTACTGGTCAGTAGGGGATGTTAAAGAACCCACGTACTTTTCGCAAAGAGAAGGGAACGAAGCTCCCGGTATTGGGTTAGGCCTGGCCTAGTTGTTATTAGTTTGTATAGGCTACCATCCAAACCAGCTTTAAAGCTGAACTTGATCAGCCTGTATAAATATCGTGAATAAATAAATAAATAAGTAACTAATGCTTTTTAGGTGTCTAAACAAGGTTAAAACAAGCTAACATGAAATTTGATTTCATTTCAGCAATACGAGGTTTTCTACGAATGATCAAGACAATGACGGAGGTAACGGCCACTGCTCCCAACTCTACAAGGGAGCCTGGTGGTACCAAAACTGCCATAACTCCAATCTGAATGGATTGTACCTCAATGGCTCCCATGAGTCTCGTGCTGATGGAGTCAACTGGCTTTCTTTTAGGGGCTATCATTACTCACTAAAACGCACCGAGATGAAAGTGAGAACCAAAGTATAAGAAAATGTCTATTCCAGGATAACGCGTCGATCAAATCGAGGCTTCAACAACCCCCCTCCCCCCCCCCCAGGCAACACTCGGGCATTTGACTGTCGTTCTTTCAAAAGGGTGGGGAACTTGAACCTTTCCTGGGTGGGGTGGGCAATTTGTCTGAACCTGCCAAGTCCTTCCAGCGGAATACACGTGTTTTATGTCTTAGTATGGAGCTGTTAAAAGGTAAAGAGTTAACTTTCGCAAAAAGATGGCTACCAGGGAAAGGTCTACAAGAAAGTTACAGTCACTGATCTTGCTTCTTACAAAAAATTGTGTTTGAGCACAATTTTGGCCCCGGAGGACGGGAATTTGAACGAGCCAGTCTTTAAAAGTTCAAATGCCCGGGGAGTTTCGGGGGGGTGGGGGGAATGTTGAAGCTTTTGAATTGATTGACGCTTAACCGACAAGAAAACGATTTGAACTGAAGCTCGCGCTAAACCTAAGTCAGCAAGTTGATACGTATATATGATGACACTACTAAATTGAATTTTGTTAGTAGCTTCAATGCAATTTTTAGCATTGAATTAGTATTTAGGTGGAGCTTATAGTAAACAATGCCATATTTTTTTTTCAAAATAAAAACTGTCTGTTGCATCCATGCAGGGGTGGATCCAGGGTAGTTTACCTGATTTCCGGAACTCACTCAAATTTTTTCCGACCTAGTTAAATGTTGATAAAAGTACTTTTGGAAAACACTCTAATTTCCCTTTGGAAACTACTGATACTTTTGTGGAAATCACTAAACGTCTTCCAGAAATAAACCATCTTCCTGTTTTACAGTTATTTATTAAAGAAAATACGTTTAGAATGACTAATTTCGTTATAATTGCGGTCATGAGGCGTTCGGGAGCGCTCCGGATCACGCGCTGGCCTTTCGAGCTTCGATTACACCTCGGAAACCGTCGGAAGCCGTCGGAAAATGTTCGTGGAGCCAATCTTTACGCAACCGGTGGGTGTAAGTCCTTGTTATTTGGTGACAATAACAGGCGGAACACAGTCAAAACCCCTCACGATTGGCTAGCAAAGATTTCGTCATCGGAACTCACTCAAAACACTCTTCTGATTGGCTAGTTGTGTTTGGAAACTACCTTGGAAACTACTGACAAAGTATAAAAAGGGCAGTTCCTCCCCCAGCGGGTCTCTTTCGTTGCTCCTACAATACAAGTACTTTTGAACTTGCTCAGGGGTTAACGACGGAATTTACTGTTAAACGTTTAAAAAATACTAGTGTTATGACTCGCGGAGATCCTGTTTGTCGGAGGGAGGATTGTTCTCCCTTCGACATTGGCCTAGTTTTCGACGAGATCCACAACTACTCGCCGCATCAGAAGCTGGAGTTCGTCGAAAACGTGTGGAAACCAGGTGAGCTTTTTGATTTTCCCGTGTCAATGGAAAATGGAAAATCTCGTAAGTTTGTCTCGGGCTGGCTGAAAAGATTTCCATGGCTAGCTTACTCCAAATATTTCGATGGAGCATTTTGTTTAGCTTGTGTTTGTTTTGGAGTTCATGATGGATATTGTGCGCAAGATTTCTAATTTTTTTAACAACTCTCCCAAGCGTCAACAACATTTAATAGCCAAGATCAGAGAACTATTGCCTCGGGCAAACCATACTGTTTTAATTGATGTGTGCCGCACACGATGGATTGAACGGATTGATGGAATGGACCGCATAGTCTCTACCCAGTCACAGCTACACTTGAAGACATCTCACTTAACAGAAACAGCCCTGGAGACTCAACCTGGAATCCAACAAGCAGACATGATGCTCAGTCCTTAATTAATGCAATCAACTTTTCCTTAATTGTTTGTCTTGTTATTGTCAGACATATTTTGGGATTAACTAGACCACTCACAGTGAAGCTGCAACAAAAAGCAATGGATCTTCTAAAAGCTAAAGATGAACTTGCTCTTTTGAAATCAGTCCTTGAACATGTCCTGACATTGATAACAGACATCATAATCTCTACCAGGAAGCAGTGACCATTGCAAGACAAGTAGCAGTCCAGCCAGAAATGCCAAGGATAGCCCAGAGACAAATGCATAGAAATAATGCTCCTGCTGCAACTCCTGAGGGATATTTCAAGATCAATCTCACTAGAGTTTTTCTTGACCATGTACTCCAGCAGCTCAACACCAGATTCTAGGATGATGTATTTGTTTGCTATAAAGGTATTTCGATTATTCCCTCTGTTTTACTAGCTACTGACCCTGCCTGGAAGGCCAATGTTTTGGAATTTTGTAACCATTACAGACAGGACATACCAAATTATGCAGGATTACAGGCAGAGCTTTTGTTATGGGAGAGATTGTGGAAGGGGAAGGATAACAGAGGAGATATTATTCCTGACAGTTTGGAGGCTACACTGAAGGATATTGACAAAGATGCATATGTCAACATCTATTCCATGCTGAAAGTCCTGATCACAATTCCAATTTCATCTGCATCTTGTGAGAGATCCATATCATCCCTTCGGAATCTTAAGAACTATTTGAGAAATACAATGACCCAGGACAGACTGAATGGATTGGCACTGATGCATGCCCACAGAGACATGGATTTTGACCTTGAACGTATAATAGATTTATTTGCTGAGTTACATCCTAGGAGAATGAGAATGGCAAACATTTTGTAATAATTTTTTGCACCAGCTGTTTCTAGAGTACTTGTGAGTTATGTTCTGTCTGGGTTATGGCCTTTAAGTCTCATAATCCTTAAACTGATGGAGAACAGTACAGAAGCTCAAACTGGTGCCTGTATAACTTTTTTCAACTCATTTCAAGGTTATTTTCTATTTTGTTTTACTTGTGATGATTTTCCATTGACATTGACATTGGGTTTTCATGTTAAGCTTAAATGGTTAACAAACATTTTCACTGAACTCAACCAGCTTCACAGCAATTCCCAAGGATGAAGAAAGGCTAGTATTATTTCAAATTATCATTTTACTTCAATTTGTATATCATTTTATGATTCTTATAATTTATATTTTTCTAATAATTGTTTTATTTTTTTAATTCCAGCTCCCAACACAGGCTAACCATCCATAAAGCCCTTCTCTCTCTCTCAAATTCTTTTCTGTGTTGTGCTCCTATAAATGAAATGAATTAAAGCCAGCTCAGGAAATGTTGTTTTTAGTGTTGCTAAACATTTGGATTTATTGAGCCTGGCTTTCATTCATTTCATTCATTATAGGAGCACAACACAGAAGAAATTTGAGAGAGAGAAAGGCTTTATGGATGGTATAAGCCTGTGGTCCCAAGGATGAAAAAGGCAAGTAGATTTTTATTATCAATCTTTAAACTATATCATCAATTGTGCTTGTTTTTCTTTTGTTATCAAAAACACTAACACTTGGTTCGTTTTTTTTTTCCACATCTTGATTTTCCTGACTAGGTGATGTTTTCCAGTCTTGGTGATGACTTGGCCTTTGAAAACACTATATTGGTTTGCACAGTAGCGTACAGATGTACTTTCAAGAAAATAAATGTTTTTTGCCTTTTTGATTACATGCTTTTTTAGTCTTTTGGGGGCAATTAAATTTTCTAAAAATGTAGCTCCAAATTTCAAATTTTCTTGCCCCCGAACCCCCCTAGCAGGAGTGGGTCCTCGGGTGGAAACTACTCACTCAAAATCCTGGATCCACCCCTGCCTTGTTTTGTTATAAAGTATTAATTGATGTCTATTTCACTTGTATAGTCCTCACAGTTGATTTACTATGGGACACATGCTCCCCATCATCAACGCTTCAGTATATACATGTATGTGCTGCTAAAGTCGTACATAGACTGCCTTGGGACACTCAGAATGTTTTGTCCTTGACTGTGTGGGATTCGTATTTAAATATGTATGAAACTGGGCGATTGCTTTATTTATATACAGGGTATATAATGATATGGAGGCAGACGATATTCTGTCTTTTTAATGAGTTCTAGAGTAGTAGTTCTAATTATAATTTATGCAACTCCCCAAGTTTTAAATTACCACATCTTAACGTAGATTTCTAGGATGAAGAGGGCTTTTAGCCTAGAATATAACCGTCAACTAAGTCATCAATAACAAGATTCCATTATTGACTACTATTTGCAAACATTTCGATTTACACTTACTTTAGATTAATAGTGTATTGTTGTAGGTACATGCAAGTCCATACACGAGATTTATTGAAGTTCATTGATTTCTTGATTAACCAATTCATAAACGAAAGTTAACTTAGGTCGATAATGAGGAACCATGTAACGAACTCCGTTCTCTTGAAGAAGCTTTTGTGTGTTCCCTAATCTATCCGAAAACCCTCCTACTTTGTTTTGGTTTGTTTTGTTTTTTAGTTTCTTATTTTTTAGGGACTTTTTTGGTGAAGTTTCTTCCAAGTGGATACATTCGTTTTCATGGAATAAAAGCAGCTAGCGTCCGCTCCACTGTAAATCTTGCATGGGCTCATCATACTATAGGTTGCCTAAATTTTAGTCTCATTCAAGTTAAAACGCTTCGAAATATAATAGACAGCGCTGTCCCCCGAAATCCTGTTACTCTGTTTTTAACAGAGTAACAGAATAAGCACCTCCTAAAAAGGGGAAGAATCTATTTAAAAGCAAATTAGTTTTGGCATATATTCGAATTCGAAGTAGGTCATTTCCGTTTGCGCTAACAACCATACCAGAAACTAATCTCTAAATTACTGCAGTTGAGTGACGCGTATGCAGTTTAAAGCCAATCCCGAATTCAAAGCACTTC